AACTGAGCTAACTTGCCACCCCTGCTCTAAATAATTTTTTAAATAAAAAATACTGTTTTCTCATAATCATTGGGAAACTTTTACGTTCTAGGATAGCATGACATAGGATAGCATGGTTTTGACTTACTCCCTGATATATTGCTATGCACTCAGACTTAGGCTCATCTCCAGACATGTTTACCCTATTTGGAGAAGCATAGGGCTAATGGACACAAACTTTCCTCAACTTCCACACGCTATGATGCTGTAATTTTCAGATTTGTCTTTCATTAACACTTAATTCTTTTATATTGTCATTTTTAAAGCTTAACAAAATTATAAATTCCTTGAAAAACTATAATGTACCTCATTGTTCCCCTTTAAAGTACAGCCTTATGTTTTCTCATTATAGACCTTCAATAAATATTAAATGAATGAAATTCAGGTTTAAAAGATGTTCAAATTACTTTTAAAAGTATGTTTTGATTGCCTCCAAAGGGACAGAACATCAAAACACAATATTTTTTTTCTCTAGCACCTTCATTTTCAAATACTGAATATTTAAAACATATATGCTGGACATAATCTTTATATAATCTGTACACTGAAAAGTAAAATTTTCAAAACAGAAAGAGGTATATTACAAGAATGTACACTGAGTGTTTTGTGTTGTGTTTATTAGATAGTCCCAATACCTTATCAACTCTACTTCATAAAATGGGATAAATACCCACAGATAATTCTGCTTCAGAAACCAATTTGGAGGAATTGACTCAATAGCCACTTTCTATATTCTTTCTCATACGGCCTGGTCTTGTATGTTTCCCAATATGCAGCATTTCATTTTTCTTTGGCTGAGGCTCCTGTCCCATCATTGAACTGAGAGATGAGAAAAACATTCTGGCTAAAAATGTGGCCAACAAATACTCTTGACAAAACAAATTGCTCCAAGTCCTTGTTTCAACTGTCTAAATTTTGTATGTGAAGTTATATCTTGCATTAAGTCATTTATTGAGTTTGTTTGCCATACCCAACCAAACCCAATTCAAAATTACACAGTAATATAGAGAGAAAAATCCTTCTGTAGCTCTGATGAAGATTTCTAACCTGACATGGCCCACCCAATTAAAATCTGTAGAGTTGATTTTAGCAGCATGACAGTGTTGCATGTGCTTTGATGGAAGACTGACTTGGATTCAAATCTCAGTTTCAGCTTTTCTACTTTCCAGCTATTGGCTGCCTGGTAGATAACACATTTGTGACTAGAAGAATGGAATCTCTCCTGAAAGGCTGTGCAGAAAGGAGGGCCCTTATTTGAGAAGTTATTGTACCTTTTAAAGCAATAGCTTCATAGGTTCAGCCAGATTTGTGGTATGTGTGTTTGTGCATGTGTGTGTGTGTGTGTGTGTGAGCACGCGTGTGTGTGTGTGTGTGTGTGTGTGTGTGTGTTATTCTCTGGACAAGTTGGAATATGGAAAAGGCCAGAGATAACTTAAAAGGATCAGATTTCACATGTCTATACCCCACTGTGGCTTCTGCAGTGGAATTTGGAGTCTCCTTCCCTCCTTCCCTCATCATCTGTTCTAAGAATTGAATGCCAAAGGTGACTATTATCTATTGTCTTTCTGGTAACCTGCAGACTTTTTTTCAGAAATAATAATTAAGACTGATGGGCTGGCCAAGTGGCTCGGTTGGTTAAGAGCTTGCCCAAGAGTGCGAGCTCTGAGCAACAACAGGGTGGCTGATTCGATTCCCACATGGGCCAGTGACACTGTGCCCCGAGCTGAGCTGCTGCTGAGCCGCCAACAGGTGGCATGAGAGCACGTGCTCCTAACAGCAAGGTTGCCGGTTTGTGTGGTGGGCTATGCCCACCGCAACTAAAGACTGAACTCGGCACCTTGAGCTGAGCTGCCACCCAGATGGTTCAGTGGCTAGAGCGCGCACTCTTAACAATGAGGCTGCTGGTTTGACTCCTGAATGGGATGGTAGCTACGCCCACCCGCAACTAATTGAACACAGCACCTTGAGCTGAGCGGCGCAACTGGACTTAGAGCTGAGCTTGCTGCACCCTCACGACAAAAATTGAAGGACAACTACTTGGCTGTTCTCCTCCCCCAATTCCCCCATAAAATTAAAAAAAAAAGACTTGGAGAAATTAATGTCTAGAGAGGAAGCATAGGTCGTTGGGTGAGAATAATCAATGAGAATAAAAGGTAGAGATCCCCTGTGGAAGTTGGGAGAACAGGCTTTATGACAAAGTAGACTTGAGGACAGGAGAGCAAGTTTAAGAATGGGGTGTGGTCATGAGCAGGGCCCCTGTAAAGTTTCATTTGGGGGAAATTTTCTCTTAAACTATAAAAAAAGCCGTAAGTTACCTATTCATTTATATGACTTCTCTCACATGCATTAATTCCTTTTGTTTCCTCTAACGCCTCAGTAAAAATCTGCTGTATCTTTACAATTTGTTGTGGTTGTATTGGAGTAAAGTGAGAGATCTCCTGGTAAAGGAAAGTGAGGCTTGCCCACATTAAATCCACTCCTTCCTACAGAACCCTTGAGAGTTGAGATAGCATCATAACATCCTTGTCTGGGGAATCACAGTGGAGCTAAGAGGAATATGCAATTCATAGAATCAGTGACCATGAGCACAACTCAGTAGTATACAAGAGGCTTTGCCCCCACAACCAGCTTTCCTAAATATGCTTACTTTGTATTTGAAGTGATCAGCACAATGCCTAACCATAATAAACACTCAAAACTCTTAGCTGTTACTTGGATAAACCCACTTTAGAAATTTCCCTTAATGTCCTTGGATTGATGGGGTGAGGAGAGAAGGGGTAGGGCAAATAAGGAACTCTAAACTTCTATGGTTTAATAAAGGGTGCAATTAGAAAGTTTCTACTTGGGACATGGAATGCTGAGAAGAAGCAGCGAATCCTCTTTCTTCCACAACCCAGTCATCAAAGAATCTGAGACTGAGAAGAGAGGTAAGAGGTTGTTTATTACCATCTCCCAACCAGTAGCCCCTTCACTGACCCCTAGAGGCAAGTCAGGTCTCTTGTTAAGTGATGTGTACTTTTTTCTTTCCCAGCAAACATCAGTTTTAATTATGTATTTACATATTCAGTTACTTGATTGATGTGTCTTTCCCACTTGACTATAAGTTCCATGAGATCCTTAATGATTCATTCAACATTTTTCAGGGTCTGCTACATGCCAACATGCCAACATTGTATATCACTGTGGGGGAAAAAAATCAGGTAAAAATCCCTCCCATCATGGACCTAAGACTCAGTGAAGAACATAGACAATAAACAGTGTATTATAAGTAATAAGTTCTAAAGACAAATATAAATTAGGGAAAGGGGAACGTGTTTGGATGGTGAGATATAGTTGAGATTTTCAATATAGTCACTAGGAAAAGCCTCAACTACAAGAAAGTATTTCAGTAGAGACATAAAAAATTAAGGGATCAAGCCATAACTCTATATAGGGAAAGAACATTCTAGGCAGAGGACCCAGCAAGTTTAAAGCAGGGGCAGGAGCATGCGTTCTTTGCGTAAGGAAGAGGGTTGAAAGTGAGGTGATGAAGTCAGACCAGTAAAGCCGGAGCAGATGGTATGGGGTCCGTGAGCCATTCATTGTAAGGATGTTGGATAAAACTAAGTCACAGAGAGTTTTGACATGATCTAAAATGTTTCTGAAAGGATTACTCTAATTGCTGTGTGGAGAATAGACTGTAATTGAAGAAGGGTGGAAGCAGGAAGACCAGGTGGGAGGCTAAATGCCATCATGCAAGCTGCTTGGATGTGGAGGTGGTGAAAGTGGTCCATTTCCTGGGTTTACTTTGTAAGCAGAGTTCACAGGATTTGCTAATGGAGTGGGCATGGGATTTAAAAGGAAGAGAGCAATCAAGGAAAACTGCCAGGTTGGCCTGTGCAACGGGAAGGGTAACACTGTCATTGGGGTAGGGAAGACAAGAGGGGCGGGTTATGTGCTGGGAGAGAGAACAGGTGCTCAGTTTTAGGCATGTTTAAGATGCCCATCAAACATCCAAATGGAGACGCTGAAGCAGAAGTTGGACACATTTGCCTTGAATTCAAAACTATCGATTTGGGAATCATTAATGTATAGATGGTGTTTAATGTCTTAAGGTCGGTAGAGAGCAGGGACTCTAGCTGCTCTGCTCACCATTGTATACTCAGTGCCTGGAACGGTTTCTATCATGTAGCAGGTATTAAGTTTCTATTGAATGAATCAATAGAAAGCCTAAGGAGTGACACAGGAGAGAGAATGAAAATCTTTAAAAGACTGCACTGTATGAGGGCAGAACCTTAAAGCCTCTTCTTTAAAAGCCCAACTTACTTTCCAATTCAATGCAGTCATTTAGATGCTGATTTTGTCTGATGAAAAATTTTTTAATTGTTTGAGATGCTGCTGCTTCTGACTTCAAATTAATACATGGCTTTTGTGGAAGAGGTGGTTTATGCAAAAATTACTCTTTGGTGTAATCACCTAGTCTTCTGGCAATTCTTGTAACATAATCAAAAAGAAAAAAGAATCAGTGGTTTGGGAGGCAAAATTCCTGCTTTGGTGCTGGTCTCTATTGAGATTCAGAGATACTGTTTAATTAAACGAGGGATTAGATGCTTTTAGCTCTGTAAACACAAGATACTATTGAAACGAACATTACTATAATATCATTACGCTAAAATTAAAGATATTATTTGTTACCACGATTACAGTTTGCAAAGTGTCTGCTGCTATAGTCTCTGATCTTTGTTACCTTGGAGTATGGTCTAGATTTTCAGAGAAGCAGCCCTCAAGGAGCCTGTACATTAAGCAGAGGGCTCTCAATCATTTTATGCATGTGACTCTGCCTATGACAACCCCACCCATCTTCACTGGACCCAAACAGGAGGAAGGCCATTGGGGTACCTGGTGGTGGTGATGTTGTGGGGGGAGGAGCCCAAAAGAGTAAGCTCAAATTTGAATGTGTGGGGCCAATGCACCATCAGTCAGTGAAGCAGCAGGGCTTGAGACAAGCCTTTCCTTGGCCTCATACTTTCAAGAGCCACGAAAGACACCCTGGATTCCACTATGGACAGGTAAAGAGGCAGTCCCCTCATGGGTGGCTGCAATGGCTTTTCTCTCAGAGCAAATTTAAGGAATAGCTTACCTATCCTTTTCTCTTCTATAACTGTCTTATTCACAAGATCTGTTTGGTCAAGGTGCACATTTATTTCTCTGGATCTGTCTCATCTTCTGTGCAGATCTTACTAGCCTACCTAGTTCTCTCTTTCTCTCTCTCTTCCATATTTAAAAGAACATTTGTGTACTGTGTATTGACTTGTCCTGAGATTTGTACTGCAGTTAGATCTAGTTTGTGGCAATAATATTAACACAGCAAATGTTTAGACTCAAATCATGAAAAGGAAATATCAATACTATACTAAAAACAGCAGATGACTGTAATAATTATTTTATAAATACTCAACCATAAAAACCACATGAAGATAAACTTACCTAGGAAGATATTGCTGAGTAATTTAGTTATGTAGCAAGGAAATTACTTCATTAAATGCCAATATTCAAAATCAATTGCTTGAACGTCACTATAACTGTGTCCATTATAAGAAGAAAAATTTAGTCAAGCAAGTTATTTAATGTTATAGATCCAATTGTTAGGCACTTGATGGTATTTTTACTATTTACCCAGTCTTTCAATTTCTTTAGACATGACTGGACTTACTTCTTAAATGTGTATTTTGTAAGATTTTCACAATGCCTTCATATGCAGTTTATGTCAAGTTAAGTTACTATCACAGAACTTATTTTATTCCTACTTTTATGATTACTACAAATTTATGAGAATGATACCTGATCCATATACTTTATCTCAATTTCATTCTTTTACATACAATTTACACTTACAGAGTTAAGATTTTTAATGGTAGAGCAAGTGTTCTTTAGAAAATGTTCTGAAGGGCAAAAATGTCAAATGTCTGCCCCTTTTCAATGAGATTTTGAAAATTAATCTAAAGTATAAGTCAGAGGTAAAGGGCTCAGTGGAGATACTTGTATAATGAAATGTAAAACAATGGTAAAACCAGTAGTTGAAATTCAGAGAAAGTCAAATGAAAAAAGGAGGAAAGATGCAATTCAATAGGAGGAAAAGGGAAATATATAATTATCATTAAGGAAAATAATACCTGCAGAACTCATTAGTGATGGCGCCCGGCAGAAGAGGTTGACTTTGTCACCATTATTTTTAACCCATTTGTCTCTGGTTTGCATTGCTGGGGATGCAACTAGTGTTCTGCCTCAGGGAGCACAGCTGTCTAGACAGCTGTCAACCTGTGGGCCTGAAAACCACTTCTGCAAAGTCCTTTGTACCCAGTAGAAAAACCAAAAGAAGAACAAGGTGCTGGCAGCAGGCTTCTTCTAGAAGTGATGGATTGAGACAGTTAACTAACAAGTCACAGTCATGCAATTCACTTCACTGTGACTAGTAACTTTTGACAGAAACAGTAAGGAACTATTGTATTTTCATGTGGAGTAGGAAGTAAAAGTCCATCTGAATTCCTTTACCTATATATATCATGTCATTTTCTACAACTTTCTGAACATATTTTCTTCCTCATGGTAATAAGATGCACCACACCACTTACAGTGTGTGATATGGTTACCCCCGCCCCACCCTTTCTCATCCATATAGCCCAGAAGGGTAGGTTAAATGTAAAGGGGATTTATTGGTATGAGATGATGCTAAATCTGTTTAAAACTGACTGGGCCCCAAAGAGAGATTTTTTTTTCTTTCTCTTCAGTATTTATTAAGCACTTATTATATATTCAACTTATGTATGCTATGGGCCATTATATGCTAAGTATGTAACAATAGTAAAAGTAATGGTGGTAGTACTATGGTGATTACCATAGGAAATTACTATTATTTTTAAATAAAGCCAGCTATTATTAGACCTTTGTTAGCATCCATTTCAGATTCCTGCCAAATATGCATTTTTAATTTGAAAATAATACAGTTGGCTCATTTTTATATTGTCTGACATACATAATATGTTAACTGGTGATCAATCTAGTTCTCTGCCTTAGGCTTGAAAGTGTATTCCAATAACTTCATGTGTGTGAAACAAGACATTTAAATTGAGACAGCTATAAAAAGCTCTTGTCCTTGCTTATCTTCTTAATAAGGTGGACATCTGGGTACTTAACTTTTAAAGCCAGGGTCTACCACATGTATCACAATATCAAAATATCAATTCTCAACATATGTCCACACAAAGATTGGCACATAAATGTTTACAGAAACTTTATTCACAATTGCCTCACAGTGGAAATAACCCACATGTCCATCAACAAGTGAATGAATAAACAGAATGTGCTATACCCACGCAATGGAATACCACTGTGCAGTAATAAGGACAAACCACTGATACAAGCAACATCATGAATACATCTCAAAGTCATTACGCTAAGTGAAAGAAATCAGACACAAAGGAAGAGATAATGTATGATTTATGTGAAATTCTGGGAAATGAGAAGTAATTTACAGTTACAGAAAGCAGATTAATGGTTGCCTGGGGGTGGGGGAAGGGAAGAACTGACTGAAAAGGTGAAAGCTTTGGGGGAGGGGTGCCCTGGCAGTGTTCTGTATCCTGATTGCAGTAGCACTTTTGGGTGTTTACATATGCCAGTACTCATAGAACTGTACATTTTAAATGGCTGAAATATGTAAATTACACCTCAATGTAAAAAAAAAAAAAGTGAAAAAAGTTTCAATTCTCTTGCCAGCAAACCGTATTCAAATCCTTGACTCGGTGTTTTTTTTTTACAAATTCTTTGCACTTCTGTCCACTGCCATTAGGTGGCAACATTATTCCCACTAGTTGGGTAAATACATTTCTGGAAATGACTGACTAGGGACAAAAACCACAGACACTATTAGTGCTTTGGGACCAACTACAAGGTGTAGCTTATGTTATGTTCACAACAGCAAAGAAACTTGAGTTAGCAGAGAGTATTTCCACAAATTCAATTCCATGTAGTATTTATGCTATACAAGACACTGTGCCAGGAACTAAGAAACACAGAGCAAGTAGACCACTCCCTGCATGTGAAGATACCATAATATTTAAATTACACTGCCAAGTTAAAAGAGCAGAATACAAAATTATATGAGATCCATCTAATCAAAATCAGGTAAATATATGCTTATAGAAAGACTAGAAGGAAAAAGCATAATGTTAACAGTAATTGTCATTAGATACTATGTCTAATTATTAGACACTGACTGATGCTCCAAATTTTTAATTTCTTTAATATTTTAAATTTTATAACTTTGTACTTTTTCATAGTATTTGACGACAGTCAAGTATTGCTCTTATACTTTTAAAAAAATGCATTACTCATAAAGTGACACTTTCTGCCTCAAGACACAGAAAGTCTAACTGGAGAGACAGAGATATTAGCAATCAATTGATAACAAAGGAGAAAGGTTTTGATATGGATGAGCTAGAGAACAATGGGAAACTATAGGAGGGTTTTTGGTTGCTGTTATTTCGATTTTTGCCTGGTACTTTTGGGATCGTGGTGGTGGGAAAGGCCTTCCTAAAAGAGTTGAAACTGGTTAGGCTTTGAAAGATGTGTAGTTTTTGCCCAGTGGGAAAAGGTAGGGAAGTCCTTAGAGGAAGTGCTGTCAGCAAGATGCCTACAAAGAAAAAGGAAAGGGCTAGAGTCAGGGGGCTGCTGCAGAGTGGGCCTAAGTGATGGACAAAGGGGGAAAGTACCAGGAAAGGAGGCTAGAAATGTAGATTGATGTCCAAATGTAAAAACTGGCCTAAATACCACAATAAAGAATTTGGAGCCGTCCAGAAGCCGGCGACTGATCTGCCTCTCCCAAGAAGAGCGCAATGATGGTGCCAACTTGGGCCAGTGAAGCAACGTCCTCCACAACTAGACTGAAGAACAAAAAAACCGACAGCAACTTCTCTGTTCCCCTTCCCCCAATTCCCCAGCGCTGTTCCCATCCCCCCAATTCCCCAATAAAAATCTTTAAAAAAAGAAAAAGAATTTGGAGTTTATCCTCTAGGCAGAACAAAATCGTTAGGGGTTTTTCAGCATGGGAAAGACATGGTCACATCTGGGTTTGGGGGGGATCACTGTAGTATAGCTTGAAATGAAACAGAGAACAGGATAGAGCAGGTACAAATTAAAGAGATATTTGGAGGGTTCAGTCAATAAATTTAGAGTACTAATTAAATATGAGTGAAGAAGAATGAAAGATGATCCCACACTTCTGGCCTCGTTACCTGAGATGGAAAAGTCAGGAGGACAGGCAGGATGGTCTCGGGACAGAGGGCAGTTTAGGAATAATGTTCTGACCATATTGAGTTTGAAGTACACATTGGGTATTTAGGTAGAGATTGCTGGGGAAACCTGAAAAATATAATTATGGGACTGAGGAACAAGTTTGACACTCCAAGTTATCAGCATCTAGAAGATAGCTATGGGAGGAGAGTGTCCTGTGAGCACGTATGGCTTTGGGGTTCTTGCAATCTCTCAATTGGTTTTAAAAATAAGCATGAAAAGGGTTTATAATGGATTCCAAGCTCAGTAGGTCTCAGGCTTCCAGCAAAGGAAGCAAGAATATCTTCTCAGGTTTGGCCCAAGTAATTATAGATTTAAAAACAACTGAAGGAAAGCCAGGAGTGACCAGAGAATGATCTGTACTCCTGCATTTTTCTCCCTCCTTTCACCCACAGCCTCCTGATGAACAGGAGAAAGTTTCTTTACCATTTCAAAAATGTCCGCTGGGCTAGGGGTCGCCATGAGACCTACTTGTGCTACGTGGTCAAGCGGCGAGACAGTGCTACCTCCTTTTCGCTGGACTTTGGTTATCTTCGAAATAAGGTATCGGTTAATATTTGCTTCCCAGGCAATTAAAAGCTAACCTGTGGGCACTGTTAGAGCCACCTACCTGCTGATGGTACTACTTTCAGCCTGTTTTGCATTTATCCCCACTAGATTTCTCAAATTTTTAAAAATATTACACATGTCCAAGCAATCATTATAGGTGTGCCCTAAAGGATGGCATTTAATGTCCTTCCCATCATGCTGGGCACATTAATGCCACACTTGGCTTCAATGCCAAGAATAACTGCCCTCCAAACTTTCCTCCCTTTTCCCAGCATCTGAATTGCCTTTAAAATTAAGAAATCAAAGTCTTTTGATTTGGGGAGAATATTATCAACTCATTCAAGCTCAATTTTAAATGTGAAAAATAAGTTATGTCTCTAGAACGTTTGAAAATTGAGGAAGAAAATTTTAAGAAACGTGCTGTTTTCCAAGTGGTTTCTATTCCCTCCTGCTCACATACAGCATGGTGAGATCCAAAAAACTCAGGGAAGCCTCAATTGGTTGATTAATTACTGTATTTTGCCATGTATAATATGCTCCCGTGTATAATGCACCCACATTTTTGGCCCAAACTTCCTGGGAAAAAAAACTCTCCTTTTAATTTTTTAATTCAAATTTGTAATTGTTTATATTTAGGTACTTGTTTTTTGTATTATAAAGAAATTTTAGCATTTGTTTATTTACTTATTTATTATTGCACTTTTAACTCATAAGCATAAATAAAAAATTAAAACATTTATATAGATGCAGAATTAGTACATCTATATACATGGGTATATATGTATATATACATATATATACATGTATAGTGTATATAGTGTTCATCCTTATTTTTCCCTCACAAATTTGGGCAAGAAAGTGCGCATTATATGTGGCAAAATATGGTCAATCAATCTCTCGCAACTAGATCAGAGAAAATCATTTCCAAGAAACTTCTTTACCAAAATCCAGATGAGTTGATGTAAGTGTCTGCTAATGGAAAGTTCCTCTCTCATAACATGCAGTGAGTGACATCTGGTCTTGAAGAACCCATGGGTGGAATGACATTCTATGGATCCTAGTTTAGTGCTTATTTTATTATTCAGTTTTCTTTGCCTTCCTTCATATTATGGAAATTATCTCACTGTAATTATTTTACATCCTAATCTCTTTACTATTTGGTGATATGGCACATTCTAACTGTAGAAGGCTTTGTTGTTACCAACCTTTTACTTCCCTCTCATGCGATGAGGACAATACCAGCCTATTTTACTGATGAGATTAGAAGATGGAGAATTGGGTAGCTTGTTTAAGTCACATGAGGGGTGATATGCCAGGAAATGGAACTTAGGCCTTCAAATTCTGGGACTCACGGCTTCTCTGCAATCCTAAATGGAATTGCAATATATATTATATATATCACGATTGCGATTATTATTACAAGCACAGGGATCATACAATGAGCAAACACATTTAATTGTTCTCAGTCCATAGCAGCGCCTACTGCTTCTTGTACAACAGTGACCTGTAGGCTTCACAAGAATCTATATTTTCCAGCCCACCCAACCATCAATTTTTCTACCTCCCCCTAGTGGTGTAGTTCTACAATGTTACATCGCCAGGAGCTTCCAAGCCCTTTTCCTTCCCCTCAAAGATGCAAAAAAGTAACTTCACTAACACAAATTCAATCCCTACTGAGATAATGTGATGCTACTTCATCCAAATGCAACTCATTTGATCCTCCCCATTCCGCAGGATATCCATAGCCTTTCTCCACTCTTCAGGGCCAAGGGTTCAAAGGGTTTTTTGCCTCAGCACTGTGCTTTCCCGCAGTTGGTTAACCTTTCAGAAACTTCAGGACAAAAACTGCAGATGCCCTGAAAAAGATCACTGTGGGAGGGTTAATGAGTTAATGACTGCAAAGCTACCAGCACCGCAACACAGGTCAGTAAACATCTGCTGAGTCCGGCGCTGTCTCCACAGTCAGGTTGTCACGTGGAGTTGCTCTTCCTTCGCTACATCTCCGACTGGGACCTGGACCCTGGCCGGTGCTACCGCGTCACCTGGTTCACCTCTTGGAGTCCCTGCTACGACTGTGCCCGGCACGTGGCTGACTTTCTGAGAGGGAACCCCAATCTCAGTCTGAGGATCTTCACCGCACGCCTCTACTTCTGTGAGGACTTCAAGGCTGAGCCCGAGGGACTGCGGCGGCTACACCGCGCCGGGGTCCAAATCGCCATCATGACCTTCAAAGGTGCAAAGGGAACCTTTCTGCGCTGCCCGCTCAGGGCAGCAGCTCTCATTCGGGGTTGCAATCCAGAATAGGAGTCAAAGAAATCCAAGGGGGAGAAGTGTATGAGGGTTCAGCCCAAAATTATCAACTAGAATTGGAGGAAAAGAAGTAATGGGGTTGGACACATGGCCTTGGGGGAAATGAGAATTTAAAAGGGGCCAGGGATTTCTTTCTTTCCTCTTGATTTGGAATCTAAGCTATCTTCTACTCCCTCCCCTCCTTTTATACAGATTATTTTTATTGCTGGAATACTTTTGTGGAAAACCGTGAACGAACTTTCAAAGCCTGGGAGGGGCTGCACGAAAACTCAGTTCGTCTATCCAGACAGCTTCGACGCATCCTTTTGGTAAGGAAGGGTCTCCCCTTTGCTTATTTTCTTTCTCTCTCCAAAGTCATCTCTTCCTGGACTTACTTACATTTCCTTTTCTTATATTCCTTACATTTTCATATATGTGTATGTGTTTGTGTATTTATCACTCTTTTTCCTCTGACGAAAACCTTACTTTCTATTTGTATTTTTTGTTGTCGTTTCTCCTACAATTGAGTTTATTCTGTTGTTTCACAATTCAGTCCCCTCTGCTAAGATGCTAAGATCCTTTGCCCCTGCCTCCCCACTCCCCATCCCCCACATGTCTTCGATCTGTTAGTTAGACTTTCCTCAGGATTCACTCCCCTCCTGGTAGAATTCCTTCATCTCTTCCTCTGCCTTCCCAACTTACTTTCTTTCAAAATGTTACAAAGTCATCCACTCAATTTATTTCTCTCTTTCTCTACAGCCCCTATATGAGGTTGATGACTTACGAGACGCATTTCGTACTTTGGGACTTTGATACCAACCTCCAAGAATGTCACTTACAATGAAATATCTCTGAAATAGTGGGTAAAAGAACAATCCTTCAAGAATTGGTTTTTCTTCAGCTCTCAATTTCATAGAGCTTAGCGAAATAATATTCATATATGTGACTTTTAAAAAATAATATGTCTTAAAAATAGAGAAGGAACACAGGCCCGCGAGGGGAACGCTGAACTGGTGCGGTTTTTAATGCAACAACGTCCCCTACTGGGAAACGACAGAACTGCAGGGTCTGGGACCAGGGAGAAAGGAGAAGGTAAATCCTTAAAAGCAAGGTGTGGGGAGGATCATGTGTTTTCACGATCTGTATCCTTTATTATTTGACTCATACTGAGTTTCCGATGGCATCAGAGATAAATTTTTCCTTTTCCCTTTGGGGTTCACTTTCAAGTGAACCAACTTCGATCATGTCATGCTCTATGGAAACTCCTAATGAGAGAATCTGGGTAATTGTAACCCCAAGCCATCTCTTCAAAGCATTACTATCCCAGCATGTGCTATGTTTTAATTATCTGAGGCATGTATTTATATTTGTACCTAAGAGCATTTTTTTCTTAGTATAGAATATGCATGGTCACCTTCAGGCTACTTTATAATAAAGAATATGAGGACTGTGAAGATGACACCCAAAATGAGTTGATGTTCCCGGTAACAAATCTGGAAATACACATCCTTTTAAAGTAGTCCATAGTTTAGAATCCACACCAAAACTTTACATGTGGTAATTAATGAGTGCTTGGAAGGAAGTGGCTTGTGTATTGAGAAGAGAAAAATCTTTGCTGTGGGTCTTTTAACCTCAGCAGTGTCCACCAGGTCAGAGTTTTCCACTTTTTGTATGTACATGATGCTTCTCTCAAAAAATGTTCACTGTATAAGAGAGTGTAACAGAAGAGAATAATATTTGGGAGTGAAGGATGACAGAACAATGCAAGGAAATAATATTTTATCCAGCAAAATATAGTGAGCCAACATGGCGGAGAGTTCCTATTTGTCTCTAACAATTATCTTTGTGAGAAAAATATTCAGAATAACCATATCACTGTGCAATTGTAACCCAGCAACCCTTGCAATACAGATAAGCAGATCCACAGGGAAAGTTGAATGCACAATTATATTGCTTTAATCTTATTGTACATAAATTTGTGAGTTAAATATTAAAAATCCTTATTTTGTGTACTCATTCATATTTTATATTATGCTATATAGTATCTAATATTCTTGTTATAATATCATTTTCAGATATATTAAAATGGATTCCTTAATGTCTCAAATTTATACCTTTAGAAATGATTCTAATAAAGTACATAATTGTAACATAGTCTAACATTGTCATAATATTGCAATGAAACCATTCTCTTGATTTTTAGTAAATTTTTCTTACAGGAATTTTGATTCTGGCTCATTTCAATCAACTGAATAAATGATAAATAATTTTGGAAGTTTTGGAGATAGGATGCTGAATAAAATAATTCTAAAACTGATTTGTAAAAAGTTAAATTTAAAAAGTCAGTATGATGGAATAAACTTCAGGGTCCAGAAATTTGCCCTTTCATCTATGTTCAACCAATTTCTGACAAGTGTGCCAGGACCATTCAATGGGAGAAAGACCACAGTCTTTTCAACAACTGATTCTGGGACAAGTGGATATCCACATGCAAAAGAATGAATCTGGGCCTCTACCACATACCATATACAAAAATTAACTTAAAATTTGTGAAATATCTAAGTGTGAGATCTAAAACTATAAAAATCTTAGAAGGAAATATAGGTGGAAGTCTTCATGAACTTGGATATGATAGTCTTTTAAATGACACCAAAAGCACAAGCAACAAAAGAAAAAAGAATAGAGAAATTAGATTTCGAAAACTTTTGTACATGAAAGAATAGTAGTGAAGAGGCAACTTACAGAATGGGAAAAAATATTTACAAACAATACAGCTGGTAAGTGTGTAATACCCAGTATATATAAAGAACTCCTAATTTAAGAATGGCCAAAAGACTTGAATAGACATTTCTCCAAGGAAGATTTACAGATGGCTAATACGCATTTAAAAACATGCTCAACATCCTTAGCCATTAGGGAAATGCAAATCAAAACCACAATGAAATACCTCTCAAACCTACTAAGATGCCCATAAACAACAAACAAAAAAGTCAATAATAACAATTGTTGGTGAGAATGTGGAGAATTTGGAAACTTCACATATTGGCTTGAAGAAATGTAAAATTGTAGTCACTATGAAAAACAATTTTGTAGTTCCTCAAAAGTTAAAAATAGAATTACTGTATGACCCAGCAATTTTATTCTTAGGTATATATTCAAGAGAATTAAAAATATATGTTCAAACAAAAACTTATACATGAATATGAATATTCATAGCAGTATTATTCATAATAGCCAAAAAAAAATGGAAATACCCAAATGTCCATCAACTGACGAATGGATAAACAAAGGTGGTAATATCTATACAATATTTTATTTAGTCATAAAAAGGAATGAAGTACTGATACGTACTACAACATCAATAAACCTTGAAAACACTGTGCTAAGTGAAAGAAGCCAGAAAAAAATGCCACATACTGTATGACTCCATTTATATGAAATGTCCAAAATAAGTAAATCCATAGAGACAGAATGATTAGTGGTTGTCAGGGGCTATAGAGAGAAGGGAACGGAGTAATTACTTAATGGACATGGCGTTTCTTTTGAGGATGATAAAAACGGTCTAGAATCTAATGGTGGTGATGGTTGCAAAACATTGTGACTGTACATATAATCTTTAACCCAGCAATTCCACATCTAGGAATCTAATCTAAAGAAATATCTCTTATATATGTACCCAAGGTTACATATACAAAGATATTCATTCCTATATTATAGGAGGGAGCAACTGAAAGTCAACAGTGGAACAGTAAACATATTATAGAACAATCACACTTAGTAATGAGTATGCCACAACTTAAGAAGAAACGATGTAAAAGTACATATATGTATATACAGGGAGACTTAGAAAAATACCCAAAGCATATTGCTAAGTGAAAATATTGTTTTAAAACTTTGCATAGCTTGATCTCATTTAAGCTTTAATGTGTATATGTGTATGTATCTATAGCTAGACCTTTTTAAAGCATAAACATTCATATACATATATGCTTAGCAAAAGGGCTGAAGAGACAAAATCCAAATTATTAGCAGTGGTTATCTCCAGAGAGAAAAATTGGATAGGAGGAAGAAGGTGGAGAAAAGAGCAACTTTCATTTCTACCTTCATACACATATACTTCTGTAAAAAAGTGTAACTTGTAAATTTTAATAATTAAAGAAAATACCATTTAAAACTTAGAAGGCAACAGGAATTCATTATTTTACATTCTCCAGTGTTTACTTACTAACATATAGACTACTCCAAAGCTTTAAAGAGTTGAGAAAATTTCAATAAAACCAGTCTAGCAAGGGGAATGGCATGGGTCTTTGTCTAAAAACTTTCCTGCAGCTACCAATGATATATGAAACACTTTGTGGGGTGGGCCATCTGCAAGAAAGGGAGTCTCTTGGTCAGCATTCAACCAGTGAAAGAAAAACTAGTAAGAGATACAGATTAAGGAGTTGGCTTACTTGATTGCAGAAGCTAGCAAAGCCAGCCCCAAACCTGCCGTGATGGCCCTCAGGAAGAGCAGGCTGGAACTCTGCAGCCAGGAGTCCTCAGTTGGAACTTCTTTGTGGAAAACAGCCTCAGTTCTGTTCTTAAATCCTTTACACTAATTGCATCAGACCCACCCACATTATGTAGAATACTTAGTCAATTGAACTTTAGATAGAACTACAAGATACCCCAGAGAAACACCTAGATTGGCCTTTTGATTGAATAACTGGGGCCTAGCAAAGTTGAGGCAGAAAACACGTATCACAGAGAGTTAACATTTTTGAGTGCAGCCTGTATGCTTGTCACGTGCGAGTTGCTTTACATACTTTACCTCACCCAGTCATTACAGTGTAACCCCAAGGTGGATTTCAACTTCAGTACAGCTGACTCTCAAGTCTGTAATTGTCTTAGCGTGGTTCATTTAGTTGCAGATAACAGACCAGCTCAATTTACTCAAAAAAAAAAAAAGGGATATATTTTATGTCCATATATAGACAGTAACTGGAAAAGTAAGATGGTTTTATTAAGTTACAGATGGTTCTAGTGACTGGCTACATTTTTCTGTTTCTTTTTTCCGGGACCACATTGCCTCTGTCTTAGTGTCTCCTTTTCTCCCTAAGGGTTCCCTCTGTTCACCTCCCTTATTAGTGAACTCCCTCTGCTCACTCAGAGTTTCTGTTCCATAATATCTTAACTTGCATACAATCTATCATGGGTGCTCCTTTTGATGTAGGATATTTCTTGTGCCGGGGTCATGGTCTTGTGGAACCAAAGAATGGAGACACGGACCAGAGAGGTAAAGTTGCAGAAAAGGAGCTTATTAGAAGTAAAAATACATTTCAAAGAAGCAGAAGCGGGCCCAAGCAGTAGAGAAAAAGTAGAGAATGGCCCAAGGGCCATTATTAGAGAAGAAAAAGCACACTCCCAAGCAAGGCTCAAAATGCTCAAAAGGCGTTGATTGTCTAAGACTTGGAGTTTTTATCCCTTCTTCCTCTAAAATGGGCTGTTCCTCTCTGGGTGTAGGACCACCTGATTGATCTCATCTCTTTAGGAAAGGAGTTTATTAGAAGAAAAGGGAAGTTTTGGGTGGAGAGGGAGGTCTTTGGGGAGGTGCATTCTGTGGGAGGGACATGCAGGAATACAGAGACCCAATGCCTGCCTCTAACTGCCTGCCTTGTTTTTCCCTTGAGAGATGTGATCCCCATAAAATCTGTATGGGAAGTTGAGGGACAGGAGGTCTTTTCTTCTGTATCTGCTTCCTGCTGGGCAGGGGTATAGAGCTGTCCCTGCCTATTGGGGGGTTCATGGAACTCTCACCCTATCTGATCTCAGTTGAGAGGAAGGGGTCTCAAGCTCCACCTGGAAGACCGTGTTGGCTTCTTTGGTTGGGACTGGCAATCTTGCTGGGGTACCCTCTGTATCCCCAAGACCCCTAAATGAGTAGAAATAGATTTTAATTAATACATTTCTTAAAGAGCAGAACTCAAAGCTATTGGTGTAAGGTGGCTACGGGTTTAGAAAGAACATTAGTTTTTTTAATATTTATTAGTTTTGTTTTTGTTTTGTTTTTTTAGCTGAGTTTTTTAAATATTTACAATCAACAAGTATACTGGCCTGGGGAAATGTTAAAACCTATTTAGTTTCTGGGATGGGATTATTCCAGAGTTAAGTCTGGAATAGCTTGGGGAATGCTGGAAAGTCACAGGCTTTAAGTAGTTATCTAAAGCAGGGGTGGGTGAGAGATATTCTGTGATTCAGTCTAGGGGCAATCTTTAGTCTAGGATTCAGGAACTGATTAGAAGAGTAATCAAAGCCGGGGCTAAGGAACCAGGAAAGAGGAGACTTAAAAGCTGTCCAGTGGGGTAGAGGTGGGGGGCAAGGGGGCTATTCGCTTGGCCCACATCACTATCATCTCTATTTTTTATTCTTAATCCTTATGATTAATTGGCAATTTTTTCAAATTCCCCTAAGAAGGACAAGTTAATTGGCCCAACTAATCTTTTGGGCCATTCAAAACATCTTACTAATAGGAATTAGAAATGAGAAGCAGGAAACAGTAATGGAGGTTTAATTTGATGAGGTGAATGACTAGATATGAAGGTTGCTAAAGGAGAGTGAATTAAAAACAAACTATTGGTTTCTCCACAGACTAAATCTTTGCTCCTTGATGATAATTGTCCTTGAGAGAAATACACCGCCTCTGAGCCCCTAGGTCTCACCCAGTGGCCCCAGTCCCTTGCCTAACTGGCTGTCTCTCCTATCCTTGGTCCCATAGTCAGTGTGACTTGCACACAGGTACCTAACAGCACTTAAACTCTAAACTCAAAACCCAAACATAAGCTTGTGTTTCTCACCATCATCCCAGGACCCCATTTAGCTTATTGCTTTCCTGTCTGTCCTTTAAACTCTAGTCTTACTGAATTACCTCAATTCTAATCTCGTTTTCTAGGCTTTCAAGGTATGTCTATCCCTGTAATTTGCTTCTTGGTTCTCTTCTACTTAATCTGAGCTTAGACTTTCAGTTTCTGGTAAAAATTGTTGATTTTACTAGGAACAGGACTCTGTCAATACCCTGTGGGATCTAACTCCACTTTCTCGTGATGAAGACTGATCAGGCTGTCCCTTATCTCCTTCAAACATAGGAAGAGGAGTCATTGGTGTCTATATCACATAACTTTTGAGCACCTACTATTTTGTTGAATGCTGTAGTAGGTGCTGGTCCTACAAAGTTAATGAGAAACAGTCTTTCCCCTTAAAAAGACCATGAATGAGGGAAAGACCAACAATCCACAATTACACACAAT